GTAACTTCCATTTTAATGATTTTTTTCTGCAACTATGGCACACACATTTTTAAATCTTAAAAAATTAAATACAGGGCCAGAGATTTGCTATGCAGCATAACTGCCTACCTGGCAGGCATGAAGTTATGGTTTGACCCCCAATCTCCCCCCAAAATTAGATATAATTATTTTTTAACAGCCATTATTTGTGGACTACCTGGGCATACTCAGATATAGTATTGAACACTTTAATCAGCAGAGATAACAGAAAGTCATGTATGTAAATACATGGATTTCTGTGGTCCTATTAGAAGAAAAGCCTAAGCCTATAACATATATTCACATGTAGTATAAAAAGGAGAATTATATTCACTATCAAATTAAAGAATCTTTTATTTCTTATAAAAACATTCACATCTAGCTTGAGAATTTAATTGATAACTGTTTCCCTAATAATTGAAGCTCAGAGTTCTGACCCAATTTTAAACTTCTTGTTCCCCAAACCAAAAATTTATATACTGGAAGAGGTACCTGAGGTCTAGATCAAATTACCAAAGAAATAATTCTGAGATATTTACATTTTAAGCATCAGTGACACTTAGAATGTAGAGACATCTTTAGATCTGAGACCCACAGGGCTATATGAATCCTGTGATCCTATTTATATGCCAAAGTGCTGTAGTTGAAAATTAGATTTACTATCTTTTCAAGGAAACTGTTTCAGAAAGAAAAGGTATCTGCTTCCTTGACCCTTAATAATGGAAAGTGATATTGTTTACTTGTTTCTCATTCCTTACATATAAATGTTTGAATACTTCAGTAGAACAACTGACTTGGCTTTCACTGTGTCACCACAAATGTAAGAACTGGAACAGGGATAGAAGGGGTAGGAAGTGTTCCACTATTAATAAATCTGTCACCAAGATAGAACATCTCAAATCCATAATAAAAAAGACAAATATTATTATTGTCTTCACCTCTCTAAAATGTTGACAACCCAAACCAACGGTGATGGCATCAGGAGAAGGGGTTTATAGGATATAATTAGGTTATAAGAGTTAACACCTATAAAATGGGAAATTAGAGAAATTCCTGAGAACAACTAAATCCTAAGAAAAGGAAAAGAAAGTCATTTCAGGAGTTTTTTCCTAAACTTAACAATCATATATAAGTCCTGTAATTACTCAGGTAAAAACTATACTGAAAGGCTAGATGTGTTAAACAATGGATTCTCCAAATAAAAGAAAACATCAGAAGTTCAGAGTCTGGAGCTAGATTGCTTAGGTCTGTTTCTGCCACAAGCTAAAATCTTTCTGAGACTTGTTATGGCATGTATCTAGATGTCCCCTAACCCAAAACCCCATGCACTTCTAGATAAGTTTCAAAGGTAGCTCAGTTTGGATGTATAAATGTCAATTAAGGGTTTGATACCAGGATACAGGGGGTTAATAAAAGAAGCCCTACCCGTAGTATGTGGGGCACCACTCAATAGGATTGTAGCCTTCATGAAATACAAAGGGTCAGAAAGAAGGTAAGCCTACTTCTTGCTGCCACTGCCTTTTGCTTGCCATGCCATGAAATATTTCTCCCCTGCAGTGGCCCTCTACCATGCCACCCTGACTTGGAACCAACTGAATATGAACTGAAATCTCTACTACTATAAGCCAAAATAAACCCTTCCTTCTTTAAGTTGTGGGGGTCGGATATTTTATTTTAGCAACAATGAAAAGCAACCATTATGAGTCTATCTTTAAAATATAAACAATAGGACTTTGCATTTCAAAGTGTTGATAAGCAATATAAATGAATTAACTTTTATAAAATAAGGCACACTGAATAATATGCACTTAAGAAATATATAAAGTTGTTTCCCCCACAAACAACTAAATAAAGTTTGCAGGAGTAGACACATGAACAAAATGTGGTTTGATAAACCCGTATTTTTAACTATGTTACCGTAAATTCAAAATCAATAGTAAAAGAACACAAACTATAAAATTGGCTCTATACCCATGAAATTTAAATAAAACCCACTCCCAAATCTAATAAACATTAGCTCTAAGAACAAAGTCTTCTTGGAAACAAGAGTTGAATGACCTCTAAAGGAAGAAGAGAACATGGAAATATTCTTGGTTTCAGCCTCCTAGGATGCTTGTCAGTTTACCCAGCACATTCCTATCAATATGTTACTATTAACCCTATGGATTTATCATATCTGCAAGAAAAATGAACTTAGTACACTTGATACCACTATGAATGAATTTTCTGCCTTTCACAGGAGCATAAAAGTTTACAATCACTATCACCAGGTTTTACCTAAGGGACATTTGCTTCCTCTAAAACATGTTTTTAAAACATCTTCATTTCTGTTCACTTTGAGATTCCAGTTTCTAGTATTCTTTCACTACTGGGAATGTACGTCTTACAAAACACAACCTACTATCTCCAGTAGGCAGCTATTTCCAGTCCTAAACTACAGTGTTTTTTTCTACTGCTTATTGTTATAGGCTTGCTAAACTGGTGAGACCTGGGAGTGGTTCTATTTCATCCCGTTTGTTTCAGCTGGAAAATCATTCTCAACAGATGAACTGAAACCACAATTGCTTTCAAGAGCCAGGGCCCCTCGGTGACCAGCAAGAACTAATTCTTCCACTTGCACTGCTCCTTCAGGCATTGTCTTTTATCCCTGAATTGTACAGACCAGCATTTTTTTCCTACATTATTTTTCTTTAGCAATACATATGCTTCACTTTTTTTCTTCCAACTTTCTCTATATTATTTGAATCAGTTAAAATTTGTAACTATTTACTCTGCCTAAAAAGTTGAGTTTTTAACTGCTTGGATTGCTTATTTCTTTGACGTTTTCCAAATACCTGTTACTAATGCAATGTCTTTCTTGAATATTTGCCTTTCTTGTTATTTTTCTCTACACCTTAGTTTTTGTTTGTTTTTAAACATATTGCTGTTTCTTAAACTCCAGAGTCATCTTTATCAACAATGAAATGGCTGAATTTTGAGTTTACTCTAAGTATCTACTGTTTAAACAAATTTTTTCCCTCCACCTCTGTGAGATCCAGAATTCCATGAAAAAACTTTTCTCCCATCAGACATCTAGCTCATTCAGTTTCAACTTACTTTCTTACCTAGAGTCTTGAATTATAACTGATCTTGCTGAGTCTTATCTTGATCCTTAAATCCTAGAAACATTTCTTCAAACCACAAACCATACCTATATTCAAACACGACAATGGCTATATTACCTAAAAATTACTTTGTGTAATCTACAGATCTTTGTCTTCAATATTTAAAATGCAATTTTAACTGCCTTTATAATATTCTTTTTGACTTCTCAATGAATTTACTTCCTGACTTTCTTTGAAAGTCATTTCATTTGCAATTTCATCTCTTGCTCACTGGTTACTTTAGAATCAGGCCCTTATTTCAATTTATTTCATTTAGTAACCAGTATTTCTTTCTTCCCAATACTCTGCTATACAGTATTAGCTGTTTCAGTTTCTGTTTCCTCCTTACAGATGTCTACTTCAACTTCAGAGCTCATCTTCTGTCAGTGTTTTGTCCTTAAAAAAATTTCTGCAACTTTATTTTATTCTTTTCTTCCTTCCATAAACTCTCTAATATCTAAAATTACTAAAACCAAAACATTTCAATCCTGTTTTTTTCACTTCCTTAGTTTTTACAATAATTTTGAGTTATATCTCATTCTCAATTATGAAGATACATATTTTAACAAGACAGTATCCAATCTTTTTAAATTGGTATTCATTTTCCTGATATGACAATCCTATGTACCTCCCAGAACTGGAGTCAGTTTTAAGCTCAAGGATCAAAGTTATTGTCACAGTTTATGCAATTATCAAAGTCAAAGCCAATTTGAGATTAGAAGTAACTTTTCATTTATGGTTTGCTTTTTGAAGCTTTGTGTGTTTTATAATGCCCCTGAGATATGTCCCCAATCCTTTTTATTTATGAAAGTCAGAGTTTCACCTAGTTGTCCAGACATGACTTGAACTTGCAATCCTTATGCCTCAGTCTACCTAAATGCTTGGATTACATAACTGTTTTGCTGTGCCATCTTGGGACAACTTTTAAAACTTCCATGCTGTCTCCCAGAAACAAATCTATGATTTGTCTTTCTACATTTACTTCTCCTGACTCAGAAAGGAAGTCAAAACAATATAAACAGCATTATAAATAGCTCCTGCAAGTATTGCTGGACATATAGCAGAAATACTTTGACCCCTAAAAGCTGGCATTCAAAGAGACTCTATGACCACAGCTTTGACTCAAAAAGGATACTTTAAAAAATTGTTTTTCTACCTTCAGATTTCAAGGCTAAGAAGCAGCGGTCATTTGATTAGAACCCAGTTAATGCACTGTTTAAGTCACTCTGTCAGATTCTGCTTGTGGGCCTCTCAAAGGTTGCTTGCCTTTTTTTTTTTTTTTTTTTTTTTTACAGCCAAGGGATGGATATCTGTCTCTAAGAAAAGGATATTTGCTTATATAAAAACTGTCATTCTACTGTGGAAGGAAAAAAATCATCATCGCTACAGTCTACTGCACTGAACACTGGTCAGCGAGCTGGCCAGTTTGGCCAAACTTTAGGGACCGCTGCACACCCACAGCCACCAAGTCCTGGTGATCCCAGTGCTCTGCGAAGGAGAGGCAGGAATACTGATCCTAAAGCCAGGCTCCGCCTGGGAATTTTAGTGAAACACTGGGTAAGAAAGCCAGGATACCAGGAGGGCAACTACTGGTACTGAACAGAAACAAAACTGAGCAAAACAAAAGCCAGGACTCATTTCCTTCTCTATCTTCACTCTTATGTCCTAGATGCTGGAGTGCGAGCAAGGAACAAAACATAACGTCTCTCTTTTCCCATCTCCTTTGCGAAGAAATGAAAGAGAAGACTCAACAAGAAAAATAATCAGCGAATCAGCGAGAGAACCAAAGTAACCCCTTGGAACTTACTGAAACCGAAGCCCTCAGTTACACAGACTTACCCACGTCGCCACAGGAAGCAGCCCAAAGAAAATGGCGCAGCAGAAAACGTGAGCGCTGTCAGATCTGCAGACCGGAAGCCAGGAATGCCACAGGCACTTCCTGTGGGCGGGGGAATAGGAAGCGGCGGGATTCTCACCTTCCAAAGTGACCAATCAGATCACTGATTGCCACCTCCACTAGAAGAACAGAAGATTCACTCCAGTGCCCTTCACCAATCCTAATGAAGATTGCATTTCAGTATTCTTCATCCCAAAATAATACATAGTATATATACATGGAATATACACATCATGGGATACATTTTCACAGATTATGGATTTTTGTATATCACAATATATACACATCAGGGGACTACTAATCAGCTCCCAGAAAAAATGAAATTCTGTCATTTGCAGCAATATAGGTAGAACTGGAAATCATAATATTCAGTGAGAAAAGCCAGACACAGAAAGAACAGAGCTATATGATCTCACACACATGTAGAATATAAAAAAGTTCATCTCCTGAATGTTAAGGGTAGAATGGTGATTACTAGAGGCTGGAGATCGTAGGAACAAGAGAAGGATGTAGATAGGTTGATCAATGGGTAATATATTAACTTAGGAAGAAGAAGTTCTAGTTCTTAAAAAGGCAGTTGGAAGTAAGAAGTTCTTGCATTGTACTGAAGCAACAAATAATGATAATAACTGTATATTTTAAAAAGCCAGAAGATAATATTTCTGAACTTTTTATATTGAAGGAAATAGATGTTTTTGACCTGATTTAAACATTATGCAATGAATATACACATTGAAACATCACATGGTAAACTTTAATATATACAATATTTATGTTCTTATTTTTCAGCTAACTAGTTAAGAAAATCCAAAGTAGATAGTACCACAAAAAAACAATAATTTGACTTCACGAACACTGTGTAGTTGAATTCATCAAAAAAAAAAAAAAAACACCAAAAATCTTATAGATTTTTATGGCTCTGGTGAGAACAATATTTCCAAATGATGAAGTGCATAGACTTCAAAGGAAAAATGTAAATACGACTACATAAAATTAAGATAAATATGTACTTCAAAAGAACAAAGGAAAAGGAATTATCAAACTATAAAAAGTATTTGAAACAAGTATAACATGTGACTAAAATCATCACTATATAAGAATTTTAAATAATTCAATTTGGAAACACAACACCAATAGAAAAGTAGAAAAGATGAACAGAAAATTCATTTAAAATTATATTTAGAGTAGCTAAATTTTAGAAACAAGCTAAATGCTCATCAACCAAGGAATGGATAAAAAGGATGTGGTTAAAACGGGAATAGAATCAGACACTAACCATTGCAGCCTAAAACCAGAAGGTTAATCTTTTGTAAGTCTCTGGACTGTTAGTGTCACAGATCACCTTGTTTTATTTTTGTTATAAGTGTGCTGCATGTTACACTTAATTTTTAAAAAGCTTTGCTTCTACTAGATCTAAAAGGATCAAGAAAACAAATGATTGTTGTCAGGTTTGATCTTGTATTAAAATCAGTTTGTTTATTGGAGATGGAACTCATGACCTTGTGCTTAAGTGTTTAAACAAAAAGTGTTTAAACCACTGAACTAAATCTCCAGTACTAAAATCAGTATTTTGATACTACACACATTTCATATATTTCTAAACGCAAACATAGCAAAAACTAGAAGCAGAAGTATGTGACAAATAGACAAGACCCAATTGATTTATTTTAATTCAAACAGAAATAATAGTTTTACTACAAGACTTTAAAAATCAGAGAGAAATACTATATTGGACAAGATGCCAGGAAATAACACACACATTCTTTTGTATATTCTGAGAACTCTCCAGATAGAGAATAGAACACAGTCCCCTTTGACCAGTTCCATTCTCATCTAATTTGTCTCAACATACGTTTTGTTTTTCTCCCTATTTTGTTCTCAGAATTTAATCTTAGAATTAGAAAGAACATCCCTATTCTTACCTCTCTTTTTAAATAATTCTTCTCTATATATATCTACAATAAAAACTATTCCCTCTTTTAATCTCAATTTGGTTCTCACTCATAAATATTATATAGAGGAGGGAGTGGTTTGGAATTTCTAAAACATTTTATCCGTGAGAAAGTTAGATCTTTTCTGTGTAATGGAATATAAGTAGAAACTAAACTAGAGAACTAAGAAGGAATCAGAATAGGAAAAAAGATGACAGGTACATGGTCTCAAGATACGTTTACGGTGACTTTTGGAGGCAAAAATATAGAGGTAACTATGGAATAAAAAGAAAAGAATAAGTGATAAGAGGATTTTGAGAAGTGTTCATTTGTGTTATATGCATAGAGTTGATGATTTTAAAGAAATCTAAGTAAATAAAACAACTTACTTGGAAATTAATGTTTGAATTACTGTTTTGTGAATCTTTGACCAGATTGTAACTCTGTAATTCCAGTAAAAAAGCATAAAATAAATATAACTTGGAAGAAATTTTCATAAAATGTCTTGGTCAATAATAAGTTTAAGTTAAAAATAATTGGTGATAGTAGAACTCATAAAATGTATTGAATTTATGGTGCCAGCCTACACTGCCCTGGAGCCTCAACCTTTTACACATTTTACGTATTATTATAAGAGATTCTACGTCACACTTCCTGACAATTTTTTGTATTCGCAACCAAAAGTTTGCATTTATTTAAAAGAACTGATATCTTCAATTACTTAGATCAAGTGTTTGCTGAAATAGAACCTCAAAAACTAATTTCAAATGTACTCATTTCAATTAACCACTTAATTGGCTCAATTGCCGGCCCATTCTCAAGACTGGATTCAGGCACCTTAAAGGGACAGGTATAAAGCAATATATAATATCAGCAGGAAAGGTATTATATGTTACTGTCACAGTTCCAAAGCTCAGAGTCCTTTTGATTTAAAATACTCTGCTATATTCATCTGAGGGTCAGAAAGAAACCCTTGTGTTCTGGTAATTCTTTTTACTGGAACCTGAATAACCTCTAGTTTTAACATCCTGCTTAGAGAAACATCTGTGACCCAGTTCTCTCACAGTCTTGTTTTATGTGTTATGAATGTAGAGACATGTATCTGCTATGGGTTTTACTACAGGATAAATCATTTCTCTGCTCATTTAGAATTGATGTAACTTTTAAGTAGTTTCAGTAAATAGCCACACATCAGATAGTGCAGGTCAAGGAAAATAATAGCCTGGGCTGCTTTTCATAAGCTGTAATTGTGTAGTAATTATAAAGTCAATTATAAAAAGATCGCATTTATAAATACCTTAATACGAAGACCCTAGGCTCAAGGAATCTGGACGCCATGGTGGCGTCTTAATGGCCAAGAATATATAAATGATGTCATTCACTAAATGGATTATCAAATGATGTCAGTATTTGTGGTGATTGAAGATGACTGTGATCCTTTGACACTCCCACTAAGGTGAGATTTATATTTCCTTTTCTTAAAACGGAGTGCACTATATAAATAATTTGATTAATACAATATGGCAGACATAACACCATGCAGGTTTGTGCACTGGGCATTAATAAACTTGCTGTTTCTAAGTCTTTTCCCTTGGAATGCTTATGTAAGAAAGTCAGTTACCACATTAAGAAATCTGACATCTAATATTGCCAAGTTATCAGAAAGCTCCAGGCAACCACCTGGACACAGAAAGATCCTCAAACAACAAGTACCAGCAGAATACTCCCATCCTAGATATAATTCTGTGACTAAGTAAATCATTCCTATGATTTAATGTTTGGCTGCTATTTGACTTCAACTACATAAAAGACCCCAAGTGTGAATTGCCCAAGTTGGCCCACAGCATAAAGAATAAAAACATATTGCTATTTTAAGCCTCCATATTTTGAGGAACTTAAGTATCCACCAGTAGATAACCACAATAATATTCAACATTTACTGAGCCTCAAACTTTGTGCCAGATACTTTTCAAAAATATATTCAGTGAATCAATTGATTTAAAAAAATAAAAAATACTCCTGAGCTAAGTGATGCCTTATTTCACTTTTGAAAATCTTGAGCAGGAGTAAGATTAAATAGAACACATAAAGTCACAAACAGGTAAGCGATACAGTCCAGAGCAGTGATGCAAACATTTTAGAGCTTTCAATGATAAAACAGCCTGCTGCAGCACGTGTGCCACAGGCTCACCACCATTGGACTAGAGCCACTGGATAACCGAGCTACTAACCTGAATGTTGGCAGTTAGACACTATCGTAATTATCTTACCTATACAGATGTCACAACTTACAATACTGTGTGCACTGGCCTGGTAATATATGTTAAAACAAAATCTACTACTAACACATAAATATCACCTAAATAGAAACCACGTGACTATTGATTTAAAGTCTTCAAAAATTATTAATTCAGTCCACAGTATGTAATATCTATTATATGAATATGGTTCAGTTATTCCTATAGCTTCAGAGATTTACTATGTCAAAAAAGAAAAAAGGTGGATCACTTGAATATGATCTCCCAACCTTACGATATTATCAACATAAATTATGTAGTTCATAGCATAATTTTGAAAACTTAATAGTAAAATAAAATATCAAATAACATCTGGTCTGTTCTTATAGTGTTTATAGCTAAGAGTTCTTAAAATTCTTAAAATGAAAGGCATATCAATATAAAGCATACAACAAGTCATATTAAAAATTAAAAATGTTAATTTTGCTTTTATAAACCTACATTCTGAGTGTTTTTGTCCTCTATTTTTAATTTCCATACTTTCTAGTCTGTATTTAAATTATTTTTACATAATGACAAAAAAATCAATTTATACTCTAACAAAGTTATTTCTTTTCAGTCAGGCATCAGGTAGGAGAAAACCTGGTTTAATTTTGTATTTTTTCTATGAAACCAGCCGCACAAACTAAAAGTAATTAAATGAGCAAGTTTTATTGTGACCCAGATATAGGATTCTAAATGCCTGTGCTGTTGTGCAAAATGATTCAGAAATAAGCATACTTACACATCCAAAATTATGTAACTATTTTCACCATTATCTAACTTTCCACATGCCAAATTTAACTTTATACAG